GGAATAAACCCCAGCATTGGTGTTTTTACACTTGAGGCTCAGCAGTCTCTGAGCCTTAAGTGTCAGCCTCATCACATCTTGGCATGGAAGATGCCACCTTCTACCTTGGTCATCTATTCCCTCCTAGCTCTAGAGCGATTTTATCATCATCTTTTTCTAGGCGGGGTGGGGGGCAGGGGTAACCAGGGATTGAACCTAGGGGTGCTTAACTATGAACCCAGGGCTGCTTAACTACTGAGCCACATCCTCAGATCTTTTTATTTTTTTTGAGACAGGGTTTTGCTAAGTTCAGACTGAACCTGCAATCCTCCTGCCTCAGCCTCCAGAGCCACTGGGATTACAGGTGTGTGCTGGTGCACCTGGTTCTATTTTATCTTCTTGAGAGAAGGGATCCTGTCTAATAGCACCGCTCTTACATTTGTGTGCTCAGAGGGAAAACTTGCTGAACTGAGTTGCTAGGCCACATACCCTTTCTTCATTACTAGCGTCTTCACCAAGGCCGCTAAGGACGTTCTCTACACGGGCCAGGCGCCCCGAGAGGGAGAGCAGCAGGTTCACCACCTTGTCCAGGTCCCCTATGAACATCTTGTACTTGTCAAACTCATTGGGCTTGCAGAGCTCACTGATCACAGCCTCCACCTCTTCTCCCAAGGCATTATTAAGCTTGATGTCCATGAGCAGACTCCCCTTGGCTTCCTGGAGCGTCTCCAGCTTGTGGGTGAGGCTTTCAATAAGCTCAGCCTATAATGACAAAGAGACAGTGAACATCACCAGCAGCAGTTAAAGTGAGGAGGAGAATTCACATCTTCCAGCCACCGCTTCTCTTTTCTCCAAGGCTCAGCACAATGCACCCCTGCTCTATAAGGCCCACTCCTGGATGGCAGGCCATAATATTCTTTCCTTCCCTTGAATGTCTTCAATGGTTTTTCCTGAAACTATTCAGTCCCAAAGGCCAGCACCTGCCTACACATGGCCTGATCATGTTTTTCCCCTGTGTCATGTCATGTACCACTCTGCTTTACCAACTGGTTTGTTAACTAATATTTAAAAGTCCTTTCAAGGCAGGTTTTCAACTGATTCAACAATACTGTGGGGTAGGCAGGCAGGTAGTGCAGACATTCTTCTTGATTTACAAATAGAGAAGCCAAGGGTCAGAGGACCGAAGAGACTTGTTCAGGGTTGAGAGAGGAGTGGCTGTTAGTCACAGTCACCATGTGCAGAGCAATTACTATAAGCCCATGCACCAAGAGAAACTAAGCTGATTATCTCATCTAGTCTCTCCACACTGTAGGACTCTTGTCCACACACAACAAGTGGGGATACGAGACTGAGGTGAAGCAATGTCCTAAGACACATGCACCACGGGCAGGGCCACCCTGAGTGCCGGCCAGCCTGACTTGGGGGCCCACCCTCGTGCATTCATCAGAAATACTGCATGGTGACCTTTTCCAGTGTCAGCCATTTGTTCTTTTTACATCACCTCACTGTCTCTCCTTTTCAAAGCACTGACAACTTAATTCTAAATTTCAATACTTAAGAAACAGGGCTGCACAATAGTATATATGTAACTGAAGGAATGAAGTCAATGCCTTAGCAGTTTCAACTCTTTGAGTTCATTTACATTAAATGTCTTCTACTTTGCTGCAACAGAAATTAGACTCTATGGTTTTTGTCATTAGCCTTTCATCTTTCTCTTAGCCTAAGGTGACCACATGGAAAAAGAATACAGTCCTTTCTTCTAAATTTATTGATCACTAAAAGGTTTCCAGCTTAAAACTCAACACTTCAAGGCCAAATTACGTGGCTCCAATTAAAAGCCTGGTTAAAAATCAAGGTCACAACCTTTGAGTTGAAATATATCTTCATTTTAAAGGATTGGGGTAACAACAAAGAAAAAGATATCAGTATTTCTGTCTAGCAGAATTGAAGGGTTCGGACAACTTTTTTTTTTTTTTCTACTATTGCTTTACCACAGAGGGCCATCAGGAATACAGTGACAGTGTTACAGGGAAATATTTGTTTCTCTACAAACTGCCCATCTTACACCTGAACCTCTAGAGGTTGCTCAATGTTAGATTCACCATGTCTCTGAAATGTTCAACTTCTGGTTTGAATGGTGACATCCCATGGCCCTCTTAACCTGCCTAATTCCAAAGGCTTCAGATGCCTACAAAATTCACCCCTGCTACACCATCTCGTGGGTTATAGTCCTTGTCTTAACAAACCAGGGAAAGTCAAAGACAATTTTAGTAGGAAAAAAATATCCAGTGTATAAGCATTTTACTCCTCTCCTGAAGACTGAGCCCAGAAAAATGCAGTTGGAAGAGAATGATGTCTAATGTTAATTGTTTAATTTTCCTTATGGTCTCCTGGAAAATGCCATTGTTTTCCCCAAAAGCACTGCTGGCTGGCAGCTATGGTACCTGCCTGCAAGACAGCATGGCAGGTACCACCATTAAAATGCCTGGCAAGGTGTGATGACCCTTTGTTGTGATAAGTTCAAATTGAGAGAAGAGCAAGGAACCGGAAGGAAAGCAGTGGGGAAAACCAACCTTGCCCCATGTTCTCACTGGACAGGAACAAAGCAAGTCAAATGTCACTGTTCCTGTTTTTCAGACAGGCAGTGAGAGTGCCTGCCATAAGAGGCCACATGAGGGCAGCCCTAGAGTTTTTAATCTTGTAGGGTCCGGCTCCCGGGCTTGTCACGCTAACATTACCAGGTGATACCTTCTCCTAGAAAACGGGGCTACCAAACTCAAAGAGGTAGTTAACTGAGCAAAACATTACTCTGCTCAGAAAAGGCCTTTTGCTCATTCAAATCTTCAGCATGTTTCAACCCCAAATCTTGAGAAATAAAATTTCTAGTAAATGCCTTTTTAAAAAAAAACCCTGAATTGTAGAAAGAAAAGGCAACAGTCTCATGATCTCCATTATTCCTCTAAACATTTATGACTTCTTTTGAAATTAACATTGCATGTCATTCTTGGAAAGAGGTCAAACCACTTTTAATAGTTTAATTGATGTCATTTAAAAAATTCTCATTTTGGCTCACAGAGGCTGGTAGTTTAAGGGACTAATGTGATGATTAATAATTTGCACATGAACAGAAACAGGAGGACAAGTAGTTTGACTTCACATGTAAGAGGGACAGGGCCAAGGATGTAGTTCATTGGTAGAACGTTTGCCTAGCATGCAGAAGACCCTGGGTTCAATCCCCAGCACTGCAAAAACACAAAGTCATTGGGGTGAGTGGTGAATAGAGGGGAGAATTCATTCTCCTGAGATCCGTTGACCTTGGCTCAACTCTCTCAGGCTCCCAAGAGATCGGCATGTTCAATGCTCTAGGATGGTCAAAAGGACCTGCCACCGTGGACAGCAACTGGAGGTCAGGCTAGTCTAATCTACTAGGTCTTTCCCTTCCAGAACTGGTTTTGGTTTTCAAAGACATCAATACTGGGCAGAATCCTAAAATGTGTCACAGGAACCTGCTGTATATTCCAGGTTCCACAGTCTAAAGAACAGAAGGAAAAAACATGTCCAGGAGTGGTATGGGGAGGCTTCTGATGGGAAAAACCAGTCTGCATTCTGACTTTTGAGAGTGATTTGCTGGGCTGCCTTGCAGTATCTCACAGCTCAGCCACAGACACTAAAACAGGGTAACTACGAGGGCATCTCTGTCATTTCTGGTACTACTGCATATTTGGATGGTATTTGAAAAAAATTTCTTTTTCCCACCAAGCTCTTAAATGTGCAAATTAGAAATATGCAACAAAGAGGACATAAAGGGAAAGTTGATTGTACTACAGTCATTTCTTTGCCAGGCAGATCTCAAAAACAAACATTAAGCAGAAATCACTGTGAGGGACAGGACAGGTGTGTGTGTGCATGTGTCAATGACACCCTAGTCTCTTAGGAGCTACTTAATTTGTAAAATCATTGACATTTGTCCATTTAGCTTCTCATCTGGCATAAACTGTTAACTCAGCCTGCATGAGATGCTATTTATAAGGGTTCTTTCTCTAAATATAGTTTAACAGACCCTCCCTCCTACCTCCCCATCTGCAAGCAGAAATATCCTGCTGGGCCCTCCCCTCCTTCCTCACAGCTTCAGGATGAGCACAGACTATGAGTCAGAGTCAGGCTCAGACATAAAGCTCACCATGAGGCAAGTTACTTGACTTCTGTGTCTCAGTGACCTACAGCAAGGAGATAACACCTAAGACTAATAATAATGTTGTATTGAGTTTTTTCTCCATGCCAGACACTGTTCCATTGTTTTTCTTTTCAGTCACTACTTACAATAACCTGATGAGACAGGTACTATTATCATCCCCATTTTTCTGATGAGCAAAATGAGGCAGGTAGAGGTTACTGAACTTGTCCAAGTCCTTACAATTAGAACAGACTTAACCTGTATCAGGTTGTCTGGCTCCAAGTTTCATACTTTTAATCATTACATTAAAAACAGTTCATAGGAACACTAGGGTCAAACAAAATAAGGCTTGTGCAGACACTTTAGAAAAGTATCATTCATATTCAAGGTTTGGATGTGTGTGTGCCGTCATAAAATCAGGCACCATCTGAAGGACACACAGCACTGGCTTGGGTAGCCATCTTGAGGGGGAGACCCAGCTTTTCTCTCTGCTTGGGGACTTGTGCCCATGGTATGCCAGCATCGTCACTACCAACACGTCTGGCTTCTGTGGACACTCTTCACTCAAATGAGAATAACATAGGAAGATTGGGCAAGTGGCTGGGGTATGGAACCAGAGTGGAACTGAGGTGATAACGAGGGCTAGGTAAAGCCATTTCTACCTCGTGGGCTGTGGTGTTGGATTTAAATGGGAAGATCCAGGCTGCGGCATATTATTGCTGCCCTTGGCAGAATTCCATCAGAGACAGTTAGGGCAGTGTCTGTCCCTGGGACAGCAACGGGATCAAACCTGCTTCCCATGCAGAGTGACCTGATCAGAGTGCAAAGATCACCGGGAACTTGACTGCCATTTCCAATATTCCCTAGCACATTCTCTGCCCAAAATCGTTCTTTACCACATTTTTCTTGGGAAGGCTTGTGACCAGAATGTTATCTTATCCATAGGCATTTGGTTCCAGTTATCAGAATTCTTTCTGATAACAGCCTAGAATGGATAACACACTAGAAACAATATTAAACCTCTTCAACTAAACTCTTCTCCCCTCCCCAAAGTGGTCTCCTTGCTTTCTCTGTTCCGGTTATGACCTAGGCCTGGAGCTGGGGAATCATCCTTGACTCTTTCCTCTCTTCATCCCCCACATCTAATCTGTCACCAGGTTCTGCCTGTTTTTGCTTCTTTTTCCTCTATTGTTGTTGATCAATTCCTCTGTCTCTCACTGCTATTACTGCCCTGTCCTGAGATTATCATCATTTCTGTATCATGACCCTGACCAACAGAAATGATCCAATCTAAAGGACATAAAGAAAGAAAAATGAGCAGAGCTTCTGGGACTTGTTGGTCAATATAAAAAGGTCTAATACTGTGTCACTGGACTGGAAGAGAAGAAGAGAGGTTAAGGTGTAAAAATATATAAAGACATAGTGGTTGAAAACCTCCCAAATTTGGTGGAAGATAAAAATTTATAGAATCAAGAAGTTCAGCACACTCCAAACAGGATCAACTCAAAGAAAATCAGGTCCATACAGATCATAATCAAACTACCAAAAGCCAAAGAAAACACCCATTGCATATAGAAGCAAATATTTAAATAACTGTATATTTCTCAATGGAAAGCAAGAAGAATATAAACAGTATGAAACAACCTTTTTAAAGTGTTGAAACTAAAATTTCAACTCAGAATTCCATATCCAGTGAAAATGTCAAGAGTGAAGATATAGTTTTTACTCAGTTTCATGCTTAGAAATATCTTAGGTTTTTGATAACTTTAAATATTAGATAATGAATTATTATTTTACAAAAGGTAGAAGCCTATACTTTGCCTCAGAATACTGACCAAGCATCAATTCTTAAGCCACTATTAGGAAAAGCTTGTTACATGTTAGGAAGAAAATTGTTTTGTTTTGTTTTGTTTTGTTTTTTAATACCAGGATTGAACCCAGGGGCACTTAACTACTAAGCCACATCCCCAGCCCTTTTTGTATTTTATTTAGAGATAGGGTCTCACTGAGTTGCTTAGGCCTTGCTAAATGCTAAGGCTGGCTTTGAACTCTTGATCCTCCTGCCTTAGCCTCCTGAGCTACTTGGATTACAGGTATACGCCATCACCCCCAGCAGAGAAAATTGCATTTTGAACTTAATGCTGAACACATTAATAGATTCCTTCAATACTATCATTATTTAAAGCTCATTTTGTTTCCAAATTGGATGTTAAGTGATACTAATGGAAATTCTATTACACATTTATAAACTTGTAGTTCTTTAAAACAAACACAAAACTGATAACAGAGTTCTCACTGCCACAGGATAAAATCTGAACTTCGGCATTTTACACAAAGTCTTGTGTGATCTCCATGACGTTCTGGCCCCTGTGGATCCTGAGGGCCTCGTCATCTACCATTTATGTGGACTTTATTATTTTTCCACATTACTTGAAGTATCTTTTCTTCACTATCTATCTGCATGCTTCTCTGCTTTTTTATCTATCTCTCTGGGGTTGCCTAGTGTTTTTCCCTTGGTCTTAAATGGCCCCTTTCTCTTGTCCTGATTCCCTCTGACTCATTCTTTAACACTGAGCTTGGGTTTTATTTCCTCCAGGGAGCCTCCCTTGATTCCACTCTCTGGATTAGGTCCTGTTTCTCTGGGCTTCCCTACAATGGTTCATCCATCCTTCAGAAGACCCATAATACTGCACCAGTCCAAAGGACCCTCCCCAACTAAATATCCTATTCTCATCTTTCTCCCTCCCTGTAGGACCAGATAAACCCAAGGGGCAAGTTTCTATCTTCCTGGTGCTATGGGTAAAGAGAAAGAACAATTGTGAGTTGCTTTTCCTCGTAAGTAGCTGGTTTAGGAAAACTAAGTGCTTGTCCAGCCCCCTTGGCAACAAGACGCCGGCTTACAACAAGCATCTTAACGTGGAAAACACAAGATGCATCAACACTGCATCTCTGGAGGGTGTCACCTTAAGAATCTCTCTGCTGAGAACAGGATAGGAGCATCCTGCCGTCCTGTACCTTAGAGCTTAAACAGCATGTTAGTGTACGTTAGTTACTTTGTCCCCACAACTGCCATGTGAAGAATTACCATCACTGTTTCATAAGGAACACTGAGGGTCAAAAAGAGGCAAGCTACTTGCTTAACTTTATTAAACCCCAGTCATTTTACCTGTGATCTTTCATAGTGTACTTTTGACGTTTTTCTTGGTACAATCCAACTCCGGGGTTCTGCCCTTTCTCATGTCATTCAGCAAGCATGCATTTTGTACATACTAGGTGTAAGGCTTGGATTATGTGCCTGTTTGGGAGACAGCTTCTCCCTGGTGCCCCTCCGTACCCTGGGAGTGGGATTTTGTCTTCTGAAGCCTGATGCTTCATTTGAAGGCACTGTAAATGACTTGAAGCTCCTTGGGCCTCAAATGGCTGATACTACTGTCCTGATATTTTTGGATTAAAATGGGATTTAATTGGTTTTATGTTCAGACTCTGGGTCTAGTTAATTATACTCAGATGATCTCTATTTTAGCTCAGTTCCAGGGCTGTGAGGTTTAGAGGCAGCTGACTTTGGCGCAGTTTTTAGCAAGTTTCTGGGGTCAAATAGACTTAAGGTTAAAATCTGACTCTACTATTATGAACTGTGTGACCCCAGCACTCAAGTTCTTTAATTCTGACTATTTTAGTGTAAAATATGCCAATACAGGAGGAGTCAGTGGGATTTAGTATAAATAAAGAATATAGGCAGCACTGTGTAAAAGATAAGTAAAAACAAATAACACAGTTCATACCTGAAACATAGTGTTCTTACTTGTTTCCTGTGAGGATGAATTAATACATTATTTTTTCATATTCTTAGTCTAAAAATACTTTTTGCCACCTCATCCTCAGAGTGAGAGGGTGATAATAAAGTGAGGAAAAAGCAGCTAAAACAAAATTAAAATGGGAGAAAAGCAACAAGTCACCTGCCACACTGTTACTGTAATGTAAGTGTGTCTGCATGTAGAAAATAAGACAACAAAAATGTCTGTAAAATGTTTGGCTGAAGATGTCATGGCAACCTGCTGCATCTAATGGTGTTTGGACAGCTTCTTCTTTGGGATAAACACAGACTAAGAGTAAAGTGGGTTTTTTCCCAACCCCGATAAAATGGAGGTGCTCTGCAGAGAGGGAGACACCAGGAGATAAGCAATAAAGCCAGGACTGAGAGGGATAAACGCCCATGTCTGCACGCCCAGCCTCAACCCACAGGGCTGGAGCAGCAAGGGGAAGAATACATGGACCCAGGTGCTTCTTAAATCCCTCCTGCCCTGGGGTCCATATCCTGTTTGGGTTCATTTCCAACAGATTACCAAGCGGGCTTGGGATACATATTGTGGAATAAATGAAATAAAATCACATGAGAGAGTTTCTCCTGGAATGAGGGCAACTGAACACCATCCTCCAAAGAAGCAAGCTCCGAGTGTCCTTTGGCAGCACACAGGTCTGAGATGTGAGGAGAGCAGCAGGCCTGGCGGAAGGCAGCCTCTCTGGGGTTATAGGCAAAGCGGAACGGCAACGACTCTCTTTCCTACAGACACAGCCCAGCTTAGATCTCCATGGCAGGTGGGAAGTCCACAGCAACAGCATGGACATTTTAAAAATGTCTGACATTTAAAATTTCTGTAGGAGTACCAAATGCTAACAAGTACATTCCAATCCCGCGCTTTCAAGTTCTTCATTAAGGTATTGCAAACAGAGTCGGGAATCGACACACAAAGGTTAATGTTACTTTTTCTCAGAAGCGTCTTTCAACAGTTGGATTCTCTTTTCCTAAACAAATTTTACAGATTTTCTAGATATCTTTTTGACCATCAAATATAAAATGAAAATTACTCAGACTGCTGAGATCCCTGTGCTAGTCTAGGAAGCTGGAGACCGAGGACTCAGTCTACTTCTGAGACTTTTAAGAAATAACTTCATTCCTCTAAGCATCACTCTTGTCATATGTTAAAATGAAAACGACAGTAGCTGACCTATCATGCCTACCTGCAGGAAAGCTGTGAAAAAATTGGTTCAAGTGCCATGCAAATCCAAAGTCTAATAGTGGTTTCAGTAAAATCTGATGATATGACAGATTTCTTGCCCTTCTGCCCTACTGGCCAGTAGCCCTGCTAATTATAAGGACCTTGACAATCTTTCTGGGGAAGAAGAACAAGGGTAACCTTATTCTTTATTTACCTTTTTTTCATTGACATCCATCTGCTCCTCTTCCTCAGCCACCTCCTCTGGCATATCTTTGATTTTGTTCAGAAGCTCAGCCTTGGCAGCAGACACACTGTAGTAGGCAGAGCAGTTGACCAATGTGCCCACCATTTCCTTGTCTTCACTCCTGGACCATAAAGAACACAAAATACAGCTGCACTTAGCCCAAACTTCATCACCAAAAATGGTGTGTCTACTCATAAATATGTAAAAAGTTCTATTTGGTTTCTTCCCTGGAGATCAGGATAAATTAGTAGTTTTTACAAATGCATGAAGCCAGGCAAATCCAGAATGAAAAAACCATGGAAGGCCATACTGGGGATGGAGTGGAAGTCAGGACTGTGGCCTTGCCAGAACCCTCTGGCAAGTCAATTTTACCTCTTTGTACGTTTCTCCTTTTATAATAAATATAGGAAAAAATGTTGCCTGCTTCATAGAAAGACAATGCACAGACATGGCTTAACTGCTATGGAATAATTTTCAAGATGCTGCATAAGTCCTAGGTTTTAGCTTAGTTATTTCCTACTTTTCTTTTGTTACCTATAACCTTTCTGATATCCACTGTACTGTTGCTTAGACACTTAAAAAGTTTTCCTCATCAGTGTGATACCCCAGATGAGCCTGGGAAATCTGGAGCTTATCAATCCCCAGAGAAATAATATAGAATGTAAAATCTACTCATTAATTATGCAATGGGGCAGATTTGGGGAAGTCCTTGAAGGTTGTAGGAAAAACTAGGAACTAACAGACCTGATTTCTAATGTATCATCTTTTGTTGTAATCAGGTTGCCTTTCAAGAGTTCAGATCCTATCCACCTAATAAATGACTCTAAGTTAGATTCTCTTAGAGAGGAATTTTCATTACTTCATTTCACGATAGCATCGTTCTACTATGGAATAAAGAACCACAAAAATAAATAATACTTACTGGCTTCCTGCTTGATGATTATCCTCTGAGAAACACATCTACATTTAATCTAGTTGGTTAAAAAATAGGAAAAAGGTCTTCTGACAATATTTGTTTTAAACTTTTATGAGAGAATCCATTGTGTCTGTCACATGTAGGATTCTCAGGAATCTGATTAAAACTCACAACAGGACAATGCTCATTTTCACCAGAAGATGGCGTCTGCCATCCTTTTGACATCTCCAGAGCATCACAGGGCTGCAAATGCTTCAAGACCATTTCACTTTTAAATAGACACATGTTCGTGATGGCAATACCTTTCTAAGGATGTATTTCTAAATTACTTTGGTCTTTTTTTTACAGTGAGTGATCAAATAACAGAATGAACTGAGTATAACCACATGTGATGAACTGATTGGCACAGCCACCAAAATTTCAACTTTGGGGCCCCCAGGCATCTAGTGGATTGCCCTGTTGCAAGTGCTCAGAAATGTCTGCTAAACACAGGAGCCTGGGTAAGCCACCTCACCCCAGTCTCTGTACCCACATGTCAAAAAGAAGAGGTTGGGCCAAGTGACCATAAGATCTTGAACCAGGAGAGCCTTTGATAACAAAACAGCTTGTACGTACTGCATAGCTCTTTCCTCTCTCCCTCCCCTAAAAAATAAAACATGGCGTTCCCATTAGTAAGTTAGTTAGGATCAGCTATAAATTTCTAAAACGCAAGTCCAAATTGGGATGAAATATCTCTTTTTATTTAGTCTAGAAACTGCTAAATGCTGAGTCTCAGTCTGTTGATCCACATAGTTTTCACTGAAAATTAAAAAGAAAATAAAAACCACTCTAAATCATTCTCATTGTAGTCCTTTAAGGAAATCACACATGCAAGAAAATATCCAGGAGAAATCAAAAGAAAAAGAAACACAGACCGTTCTTTCACTGTGGCAGGGAGACATGCCAGACCAGTCAAAATGTGCCTCAGGGAGATGTAGGAGCAGAGGCTAAGGGGCTAAGCAAATCCAGAAGAGTGAGCCCTACGTGGACCTTTCTTGATTTTCAGGATTTGAGCAAATACTCACCCTAATGCCTCAAAGGGGAATGTTTAGTGTAGTAAATGGATCTATTTCTCTAAGCTCACGTGCTTTATAGAAAGACCATGTTCAACCTTAGCCTCGGGTGGCCTCAGCCATGTCCATACTTGTACTTGCTTCTTTCTCAGAACGGAGTCCCAGAGGCCTCTCTGCAAGAACAACTCTGAGAGAGAATGGGCACCTGCACATTCTCTGAGTTAAGGGCACTGGGTCATTGCTAAGGGCTGAGTTCAAGTCCAAGGATCATCCCTCACATAGTCTATGCCTTAGTGGCCTTAATTCCTCTGAGCTTCGGTTTCCTCATTTTTGAATCAGAAATAAAACTGGCAGCTTCAGCGGAAGGTTCTTATGAAGATTAAATGAGATAATGCTTAAATAAAGAAATCGATGCAATGCTTGATACAGGGGTATTAATGAAAACTGTTATTACTATTGCTATCCTTCGTGTTGTTGTTGGGCCTCTGTCCCACATCTGAATCCCCAGGTTGAGACAGAACGTCAGGGATCTGAGATGGGATGTGTTAGGGATGTATGGAAGTAGGAAACATCAGGTAAGCATCCCTAGACTAATCACCCCACATAAGGAGACTAATTGTTTCTCTAGTTGTTTCCAGGGACTTACCTCTTGCCTTCATGTCCTGGGCAGTTGACAGCTCTCTGCATGGCCTTCCTCTTTATGCTGTTTTCCTTCAGCAAGTTAACATCTCGGGGAAACAAACCTTCCATCAGGTCCATAGTTGTCTTCATTCTGGAGTCTGGATCCAAAATGTCTGCCAGAGATTTGTCTTGGTGGATAATTTCCTTGGCCAGAGCCTCAGTTCTGATGTCTTCTGAGGTCTTCTGAGGATCAGAACTGCCTTTCTTTTCTAAACCCTGAGTTACACTGACTGGTTCATGCATGAGGCTTTGGGTTCGGCTGGGAGGTGGCTGCCCCGGGCTTGGCTGCTTGCCAAGAGATCCAGCAAGTTGAGGTTGAAGACTCACGAAGGAGGGAGGGTTGGACTTGTTGGCCTCTGAGCCTCTGATAGAAGTCTGGGGTCTGGAAGCCAGGATTTGACCACCTACCAGATGGGGTGCATCAGGCATGTGTCTTTCCCTTACAGTTGTCACCTTGGAAAATTTGCTGTCACTGTAAGTATATGGGGGGGAAAAAAGAATGGCAAGAGAAGAGTCAACAGAGTGTGGAGGAAGAGCGAGGGAGAGGCTTTCTGCCTCAGGGCTGCAGCTTCCCATATTAGGAGTGGGGTGAAGCGTCACTTTTCTGAGGTTAACCTCCCCCAAACCATGGGGTTCTAAAGGACCTTCTCCCAAGTACAGCAGTCGGTTCCAGAAAGGCTGTCATCTCCCGAGGGAGATGGATTCAGGAGGAATTCAATGTTGGGCAATGTTGCTATTAGATTCCAGAGCTTTCTAAACGGCTGAGGTGAAGAGGAGGTAGTGGTGGTAAGACATTTCTGTGGTGTTCAGAGGATGCTACCCTCGTTTTGTATTTGGGGATTCTGAGAGATCGCTTGTCTTAGGGCCTATGTATTGGGAATGCTCCTTCCCTGCTCTGGCAGTGAGTGAGCAGCAGCTAGAGGGAATGGATGAAGGCAGAGGGGAGCTGAGCGGGGTCAGGGCTGAAGGACTGGCATCTGTGAGATGCCCTTGTGTTCCTATTGGTAGTGGCCTGGGGCAAGAGGAGGTTTTACCTCAGCATCACTGACCTTTAGTTCTATTCTTTTTGTTTTTATTTTTGGTACCAGGAGGGGTTGAACCCAAGGGATGTTTAACTGCTGAGCCACATCTCCTAAGGGTCTCGATAAGTTGCTGAGGCTGGCCTTGAACTTAGGATCCTTTTGCCTCAGCCTCCAGAGTGCTGCAATCACAGGCGTGTGCCACTGTACCCAGCTTAGCTCTATTTTTTATTCCTTTCTGTGGACATGGGGTACCTCTGGACAGAGCGGCTGCCTCCACACTGTGTGTGTGTGTGTGTGTCTGAGCATGGAAGGTAAGCCTGCTTAGTTTAGGGGTTCAATATCAGAAGACGCCCTTACATTCAGACAGAAGCCATACTGTTCAATGTTCATCTGTGCGTAAAAAAAAAAAAAGTGGCATTTTGTCTTCTATACACCTTCCTAATTTGTCTTATTTAACTGACTCAGAACTCAGCCAGGGAAGGGGAATGGGCTTTATTTGGACCCCTTCAACCTATCACACCCATGGAAGCGAAATGTGCCCCCTGGGTTTTGGCTTTCATTTTCACTACTCATTCCTTGGTATCCAATAAACAAGAGCATAACTACCACCCAAGGACAACGAATAAGGCAGTTCTGCCAGCTCATGAGCTGAGTTTATATGAAAATATCTCCATCCCAGGGTGCTCCTGAGGCCAACAGAAGGATCTGCAAAACCTGGACATGAGAATCTTCTATTAATGAAGGAAACCCTCTTCCTCCTCAGCCAAAGACTTGCCCTACCCAGAGGACGCTCTCACCTGCTGCTGGAACCCTCTTGAGCCTCGCTGTCCAGCTCCGCCTCATGCACAGCTTGGGGAGGAGGTGGGGGGAAGTCATCCGAGCATTTCAATGGGGTTTCCTGGCTCGGTGGAGGGGGTGGGGGTGGGGGTGGGGGAAGAGCTTCAGATGTAGGACTAGAGGTGGCTGTGGGGCGCAAGTCCTTCACAAACACTTCGTCATCATAGTCTTCCCGAGGTGGTGGGGAAGCCTGAAGGACGGACTCGGATATTCGGAGAGAGATCCTCCCTGGAGTGTCTGGGTCAGAAGTGCTGCATGAACTTGAAAGACTAGGCTGCTTTTTATAGTGCTTCAGGTTTGCAAACTCAGGCGAGGAGGCTTCCTCAGGAAGGCTGTCCTCTCTGACCGTGTGGGCCCATTTTACTCGGGAAGGTGGTGGCCGCTGAGGCAGGGAGACTCTCTTCCATGCTCCCTCTTCTACCCCATGCTCTGGGATGTTGAACTCACAGCTTCTTGGACTGGGAGGCTGGGTCAGGGTGTGACCATTGCTTCTGTGAGTGACCACAGGGACATAGGAAGGAACAGGCTGTCGACCTGCCTGTGCATCCCTTGCAGTCTGCTGATCAGTGGCAAGCTGTGAGCAGCAGCTAGAGGAAATGGACGAAGGCAGAGGGGAGCTGAGCGGGGTCAGGGCTGAAGGACTGGCATCTGTGAGATGCCCTTGTGTTCCTACTGGTAGTGGCCTGGGGCAAGGCATTCTGCTGGCTTGCCTTGGATGGTCCAGGGCTCCAGGACACTCATTAGCAACTGAGGAACCACCAGTTGTTTTGCAGCCTGAGCCACCCCAATGAGCGGTAGGATGGTGAATTAACAATGGCATCTCTTCTCGGCCTCTTTCTGAATAACTGAGTGATCTGCAACGGGGTAAACACGAGGGTTACAGCTCTGAATACTGAGCCCAAGATTCATTATACAGACAAGAAGTACATTTGATGGGAAGAACTCCCCCCCACACACTCCCCAATAAGAAGCTGCACACTTCTTCCTGTGGCTGCTTGTAAACAGAACCAGGCTGAAGTATCAGACAGGCATAAGCCCCAACAGGAACACGTGTGGAACTGCCTGCGTTCACGACATCTCCTGTTATGAACCCTTCCTCACCCCCTACTGTCTGCACACATACACGCACAAGGTGGCTTTGGAGCACAGGCTGCAGGACATCAAGGGAAACAAGTGGTACACTTCTTCAGCTCCTTTTAGGACGACTTTGAGAAACAGCTGCTGGAGCTGGGGAAAAAGGTTGCTGTCTCATTCTCTCCCAGGAGGACCCCAAGGAAGAGGTCTGCCTGGAGAGCACCTGCATGGGCTGCTGGGCTTGAAGGTTTTATTTATAACTGCCCCTGAATCTCCTAGGGTTTTCATTTCCTAAGATGAAAAATAAAAAGGGGAGGAGAGTCTCACCTAAGGAGTTACTAAGCATTACCTCTGGAAACAAAGACTGACCTAATGAGCAAGCATGGTGCATGGTGATTTAAACAACTGTCCTCTAGCTGCCACAGAAAACCCAACAATTCCAGATACATTCATTACTGTGTATGAAGGAAAAGACAAAATGGAGTCTGCAGCACTGCCTGCCTGTGAGGCAAAAGTTAATGTGAGGATAAGAAAGAAAGCTCCGGCACATTCATCATTTGTGAATTCCATATCTGTATTTCCCTGACTGGCTCTGCAAGGAAATCTGGAGAGCAGATGGCACTTTTCATTTCACAGATTTGACTCCTGTGAGGAGCCATGCCTCCGTTCCATATCAGACCACATCAGGGCAGTGGTACCGGGTCTGCCACAAAACCACGTGTCAGGCGAGGATAATGCAGCATATGGAAGGGAAAGACCGAAAGGACCAAATTAGCTCTTCTCAAGCCTTTTTTCTTTGTTATAGATGCAGATGGTTGAGTAAAGGGTCCATCTCTCTCTCCGATGCAGGCCCCCCCTTTCCATCACAGACCCCTTCAAGAAGACAATTTATCAGGAACCCCGCCACACCTAAGATGAGCTGTTCTGCTCTTCACATGACACTTAGCCTTTAAAGGTCTTGTCTAATGAACTTTGCTTTTAGTTTATGTTTGAGCTTAGTTTTTGTTAACTATGGTTCACAAAAGTTATATATTTTGTTTGTTTATTTTTGTGGTATTAAGGACTGAACCCTGGGCCTCAGTACTAGTGAGCTAACACCCAGCACTTTTTACTTTTTTATTTTGAGGTAGGGTTTCACTAAATTGCCAAGCCTGGCCTACCAAATTGCGATCCTTTTGCCTCACTCTCCTAAACAGTTGGGATTACAGGTGTGTGCCATTGTGCCCAGATTATAGTTGTGTTTTTGAAGATTATAGTGACATGCTTCTTCATGGTAACTGCTGTTTTTTTTTTTTTCTCAGGGACAAATTCTATGGTTAAAAAAAAGATTTTGCCCAAGTCCCTTTTATCATCAGGTGTGAAGGGGCTTAGATAAAATCTTTTGATCCATATCCATAAATCCTAATATTCAAGAATGAATTTTGAGAGCAAGATTTTCACATTACAAAAATATTTTTTTATTATGGTAAAAACTACAATATAAATTTTCAATTTTGGCATTTTTAAGAAAACAGTTCAGTAGTGTTGAGTATGTTCATGAGCTGAGGGTATAAGTGGTAGAGCGCTTGCCTGCCATGTGTAAAGGAAAAAAAAAGTTCACATTGTTGTAAATCATATCTCCAGAATTTTTATATTTTTCAAATCTATACCAATTAACAACTTCCCATTCTTCCCTTCCTCCTGCCCCCAATAACCATGGTTCTGTATTCTGTTTCCGTGTTTTCATGACTGGCTTATTTCACTTTGTATAGCATCTTCGAGGTTCAGCCATGCTGTAGCATGCGACAGAATTTCCTTCCTGAGACCAAATAATACTCTAATGTCTGTGTTTATCATATTTTGTTTATAAATCTACCCATCCATGGACAATTGAGTTGTTTCTACTAAGAATTGTGAAGAAAACTACTACAAACCATGGTTGTGCAAGTATCTCTCTGAGACCCTGCTTTTAATCTTTTGGACATATACTCAGGAGGGGCATTATTGAATTATGTGGTAATTATATTTTTAATTTTTCCAGGAACCTCCATGCTGTTTTCCATACTGTTGCATTAATGTAAAATGGTGCATGAACAATGTGCTAGGATTCTAACTTCTCTACAACTTTGTCAACATTTTTTTTTTTATAGTAACCATCCTAATGGGTGTGAGGTCATAGTTCTGATTTGCATTTCCAGGATGATTAGTGATGTTGAGCATCTTTTTATATGCTTGTTGGCCATTTATGTAACATCTTTGGAGAAGTATCTATTCAAGTCTTCTGCCCACTTTTAAATAGGGTAACTTTATTTATTTATTTTTATTTTTTTAGACCAAAAATTGAACCCATGGCACTTTACCACTGAGCCACATCCCTAGCCCTTTTTATTTTTATTTTGAGGCAGGGTCTCACAAAGTTGCTTAGAGCCTTGCTGAGGCTGGCTTTGAACTCTCGATCCCCCTGCCTCAACTTCCTGAGCTGCTGGGATTATAAGTGTGTGCCACCATGCTCGGTGGGTTACTTAATTTTTTTGTCGTTTAGTCCCACCTTTGACTTCAAATCAGTCTCTTTTAGCAGTGCTCTAATTCCCTGTTAGTTTTCTTGTATCCAGCTTTTAATTAATGCACCAAACTAATCAAAAGCTTCAACCTCACCTTGAATTCCTTCCTCCCTTTCAACATAGCTACCAAAGCAAAGGCACATACCAAGGAATGCTGCTCTTGGCTTTAAAGTAGGTAACAATACCCATTTCCTGGTCATGCTGGCTGGCTGCTTCTGTGTGACAGCATTGAGTTATTGAGGACAGAGAAACAATGACTGGACTAAAAAAATCAAGAAACTGGTATGAAAAAACATGAAAAATGTTGAAATGGTTTTATTATTATTAGTAATTGCAGCATACAGCTCTATAATGCTGCACTAAAACTATACATAAGACATGCTTCAGGGAATATCTCTAGAAATTTCTACTATGTTCCTATTTTTCTACCTAGGAGATATGACCTTGAAGGCAAATTGTTTTTAAGTCACTTGCCTGTTACTTTCTATCTCTGTATCTAAAGATGATGATTTTGAGTTTATTAGTTCAGGTGCCTCCTGTGAGTTTGTCCTGCTCTGTGATGCTTTTCATGAACTGTCCATTCTTTCCTTAGCACTTCAGTCACCAGACCTGATCCTCTGCACACAGATGAGGCCCCATGAGTGAGAGCCATGGTACTTGAGGGGAACATCTCCATTAATTATTCTGATACCAAACCTGTCAGAAGTCAGACATTTCCTCGATAGCACACATTCAAACCCCACTTTTAACAAGTGTTGTTTTTCAGAAAAAGTCATTTATAACCCAAAGTAAAAAAGTCCCCATGGCCTAGACAAATTGAAAAGGTAGCACATGACACTAGGCAAGATCACAACACCACTTTCAATTTCTTATTGAAAGGAGTAGTTTAACTCTAACAGTATTCACAGGCGAGGCATCATAGCTACACATACATACCTAGATCCGGGGCCAGCTAAGTAACATGGGTCCTTCACGAAACCAAAGCCACTGTCTTCCCCCAGGAGAACATCCTTGAAACACAGGAAAGGCACAGGATTATCACCATTAAACAGTTGTTTAAATTTACCAATGGGATAGAGGTAGAAAGGAGAAGGAAAACTTTCTTATTGGAAGCCTTCCATTGTCAGGCACCATGACAGCACTCTTATATACTTTCTCATTTAATTCTCAAAGTTCCAGGAGGTATGATTAATCCCACTGCATCAACAAGGAAATGGACCCACAGTCAAAAGTGAGAGGATCTGCAATTCTGCCTGACTTACCAGGAGCACTCCTTAACAAGGATGCTTCCCAAGTAAAAGACATCCAGTAGTAACAATTGCCTCCTGAGTTCAAAATGACTGAAATACTGGAAACATAATGATGATAGTGACAATGAATTCAATGGGCCAAGCATCTTACGGAAATATGGGATAAGGATAGTAACTGAATTTTACAAAAATCTCAAACATTCCAAATAATGGTCAGAAATGATATGAATCTGGTTTGTAATCAGGTTGCAGTAAATTCTCTCCGAAAAATCACATGCACATGTGATATCATTAACTCAGACTTTTCAGAGGGTAGTTTTTAAGAGTAGATAGGACCAACCAAAAAGAAAAAAAGAAAAAGAATAGACAGGCCCATATATATACTTAAGACTATATCCTGGTGTCCTGAAGCGTCAATAAAGACTAAAATTGATAGTGTAAAATCTGTCCCATGTGAACTGGTCCACGATGCTGATGATGTTGCAACTGATGATGATACATTCAACTCTCAATCAGTTATAATAAAACACAGGTAAAAAATAAAAATTAAGCTGGGAGCAATGGTGCTTTCTTGTAATCCCAGCTACTTGGAGGCAGGAGGATAGCAAATTCAAGGTCAGTCTTAGCAACTTAGTGAGATTGTGTCTCAAATAAAAAGGGCTGGGGGTGTAGTTCAGTTACAGAGTGTCCCTAGGTTCAATCCCCAGTATCAGTATTAAAAATATTAGATCCATATATAATCTCTAAATTTTAATAATTTTAACATTTACTCTGTCCAAAGAGCTTTTTCACTCTCTTTCTCACTGTTTCCCCTGGGTCAGTGGTGTAAGTACTACTAATAAGCAATAAAAAGAATCAAAAGTGGTAGTAAGTAGAAGCAGTAGAAACACCTGGGTATGTTAATAATTGCAGCTACCCCATACTGGGTCTCAGACTCTCTGGCACTCTGCCAATTACTTTGCAATCCACTGATTGTGTGGCTGAAATATCAGGGCACTTGACATTTCTTTTGTAATTTAATCTTTATAACAATGGGAAGGGGTGTAATTACAGCTCAGAGAAGTATATAGCCCACAGTTAAATAAATGGAGAAGCAAGGATTCAAGTCCAAGATCTTCCTGTGAAATTTCAAGAGGTTAAATGGTGGCTGGGATGGATGCAATCAGAATTGAATGTTTTGAGAAAAATGAATTCCATGTGTTCTGACTCCCTCAAATATCATCATATGGAATGGGAATTCCTGCACTCCATGAAAACTTATGGTGCTTTTAAAGTTTTCACCACCACTCTTCCCTTTGTTGACATGAATATACTCACTTTGCTCCATTTGAACTCCTAATGCAATAAAGTTTAAATATGTTTTAATATTACATTATATCGGGGCTGGGGATGTGGCTCAAGCGGTAGCGCGCTCGCCTGGCATGCGTGCGGCCGGGGTTCGATCCTCAGCACCACATACCAACAAAGATGTTGTGTCTGCCGAAAACTAATAAATAAATAAATATTTTTTAAAAATATATTACATTATATTGTTTTCATTTCAGTATAAGAATATATATGACTTCTGTATTTATACGACTTGGTCCCTGGAATGTCAAGCTTACATTGATATTTATGTGGCTATGCATAAAATAAAGGAAGTTAGATCCAGAAACAGGCTACCAGGAGAATTCCTTAAACTTCTTATCAAAATACCACTTGGACAGAAAGAAAATTCCCAACCTAGTAGAAGCTCAAGGAGGATAGCTCCCTGCTATGTTTCATGCTTTGATTGGGCGTATGTTCACCGCCAAAGACAACTTGATTTTGTGTAAACTGGTAAGAAGCTTACAAATATGTTAGGAAAATATAAGGAAAAGCAGTGGTTATGGAAGAAACACCAGGCACAGATTTATACCAACTTGTTAAGCATCTGATTTCTGTTATCTCAAAACTGATTTAAAATTCACCAGTTTTTAGCACACTTAAGACTAAACCTAAAATCTATTGAATCCCAATCCTTACTCTTTTTTCAGGTTTTAAGTTAAGACATTGTAATGTCTTTGTGACTGATAAAATATAAAGATGATAATATTTGTCTACTTTAGCTTATTGGTTCCAAGTGTCTACTAAAATTAATTCAAAATCAATATGAAAATCTTATTTAAATGTAAGCAATAGTAACTGATAATTGTTAAAATGAAATCTTTTCATTAGCTGATATTTTCATATATAAGACTTAAGTTTAACTCTAACCTCCCTCTCCCCACCTCTGCCTTTCTTTATTCAAGGAAACAGTCTAGTATGGTGTCTTAAGGACTCTGGTGTCAGTCAGTATGGGGTCTAAACATTGTTCCCTACTACCTTGGGCAAATTTTGTACCTCTCTGGACCTTGGTTCCCTTTTTTATAGCAGAGATAACAATAGTTATGTACCTCATCACATAGATGTGAAAATTAATTCTACTTTTTAAAAACAGTATAATGACTGTTGCATAGTAAAATTTTGATCATTGTTAGCTATTGGTGACTTTGCATTTTGTTGAAAGTCACTTCTGTTAATTATGCCTAAGTTTATGTGCTAAGTTTGAGAGGTGCTAAAAAGGACTTAGCAGCTGCATCCCACAGAATCAAAGCCTACATCCAACATTGTGGTGCCATGTACTGAGCAATTTCCTCAGCAATTAAGTAATGTTTGTCACACCATCTCCAGTGAATGTGAAGTTCTTCCCAAATTCAGTGTGAACCAGAAAAGACTCCTCTTTTGCACTTGGAAACAAATTCCCACCAGGATTCATATTTCTCTAAATGGTTTCTTTTTATTGTTTATATTTTAATATATGCAATGAAGAGCTATAAATTTCTCTCTGAAGCAGAAATTTTGGATATTTTTCTGCAGTTTTGCAGGGTCCACCCACTATAAAAAGGTTAGGTTTTCCAAAGTTTTCACAGAAAGTAAGGGGAAACAGGCAAGAGTCTGATATGCATTTAAGCTCCATCACTAATATCTATTTGTTCTGCAATTATACCCTTCAAATGAAGGGGAATCAAAAGGACAGAAAATGGGAGGCTGCATGTTTCAGAAAAATCCCAAGCTGGCTACGGAGAGGCCCTGAATTGCCCAATATCTGAGCAGGTGTCAGGCTGTGTGAATTCCCAACATCTTAGGTGGGAAGGGAGCCACATGATCTCTAGTGAAAGCACTGCCTGAGATGGGCTAAGAATTCGTTGTGGAAATTAACAGGCTCCTTGCCAGGTTCTTCTGAGTGCCCAGATTCTGGTTCTAGCTATACTTAAAATTTCCAGAGGAAAGCACTTTATAATCTTTGCGTAGTTTGGAGCCTTTATTAAAAAAGTGCTTTGATTTGAGATTGTGAAAGTCTGATTTCCCAATCATATTAGGATAGAGCACAGATGGGGGATGGGGGAGAGACACATACACACTCAGGCTTGATATGGAAAACACACTACAGAGAATTATCTTGAGGATTGAGATAATAACCGTAAAGTGTAAAAACAGCTAAAGGCCAGGTACATACTTAGGTGTGGGCCAGGAACTCAATAACCAATAACAATCAATGTTAATAATTCTAGCAAAAGAAACACAGAAGGTGCAAACTTAAAAACTTCAAAATATTCATAGTCTCTATCCAAGGAATGAAAGCAAAACACACACAAAAATAATTCCTAACTTTTCCTCACCATGTATTCTTGCACTGAGAGGTGGGCAACTTCTTAAAATGAGGGATATGGATACACACAGACACACACACACAGAGAGAGAGAGAGAGACAGACAGAGAGAGAGAGAGACGACTCCATAAGATAGCTATCTATATCTACCTATATCTCTATGTATCTGTCCATAAGAATCTATAAAGGAACCAGGTGAAGGCACTGAGGTTAAAAACCCTCATGAAAACAAATGCTACTTTTCTGCATTTAAAAGGAAAACTGAACAAAGTGTGAGCAATGAGGCTAGGAGAACCCCCACTAAATTTTCCAGGGGCAAAGGGACAATCCTAGCCCAATAACTGATGGCTGCACCTACCTGGTGCTTTTTGTCTGCAGTGGGAGATGACCGGGACCTCACATGGACAGGGACTGATAGGACATCTGACCGCTCCAGCAGGTCCTCTGCCGACATGGACTTCCCGGCCCTCACGGCCACTGCACTCCAGGAAGACGGCCCCCGAGAGGTCTTGTCCATCCTCTGGGTGCCCCCTGGTCCGCTGTTAGCTCCATTGCGCAGCTCCCTCTGGGTCTGGGGGTCCCCATGTCGCCGCTCCCCAAGGAAGCGGCCACCTGCAAAGGAGCTGCTGCGGTCTCTGGATCCCCGGTGGTGCTCTGTGGCCGCAGGCAGAAGGCAGGCTTCCCTGCGGGGCTGCATGCTAGGCTCCCGCAGGGAGCTCAGGCTGGAGGCCACGGCCAGGCTGGGGCCTTCGGGTGCCGTGGGGCCGGCCATGAAGTAGGCACTCTGGGCGCGCTCCCGTAGCCCGGGCTCAGCGGGCCCGTAGGCGGCGGCAGAGGAGGGTCGTCTGCCAGTCTTGCGCTGAATGTAGTCGGCCAGGGCGCTCTGCTGGAACTGCTTCAGCTCGGGCCCCGACAGGCAGAGCGTGGAGCAGGCCTTGCCATCCCGCTCGAAGACGCGGCGCCGGTCGGCGACAGTGCTCTCCGGAAGGTGCAGCCCCTTCCTCGGTGGGCCCAAGGGCGCAGGCTCAGCCTCTTCAGAGATCCCCACCTCGTTCATCTTCTCGGGTTCTGAGTAGGAGCGCTTCTTTTGCTCAGGTGTCAGGCGCCGACGCGCACCTCTGCGAGCTGTTTGGGGTGCGGGCAGGGCTGGGCCTCCCTCGGCAGGGGTCATGCTATGCCGCTCCCGTGGGGTGTGCGGGGAGGTGGAGGCTGGCGTGGGAGCCTCTGGGCTCCGCAGCCCCACGTGGGCCGAGGCAGGCCGTGGGCGCCAGGGCCTTGAGGCAGCAGGGGCACCCAGCTCGAGGTCCCGGCGTCGGAAGGAGGTGGCTCCCAGGACGCGGGACTGGGCGTCCTTGATACTGTTTCTGTAGGCGCGGCTGAAGGGTGCATCTAGTAGGGGCGACTCGGGCGTGCCGGGTCTGTCGTCTGCCCAAACAGCTTCTTTCTCGGCCTCGCTGCAGAGCTGAAAGGTGCTCTGGCTCCGGAGCAGGCGAGTGTCCGGCCTCAGGGGCTCACTGCCTCGGAGCAGGGGGCCACTGCTGCCCTCCGCAGTTCTCCTCAGCTGCTGACCACATGGCTGCCGGGAAACCTCTTCCAACTTAGGCTCCCCGTTTTTGAAGTGCTGCTCCCCATTGCCTAGAGGCTCAGCAGGCTCCAAGAAACGCATGCTGGCTTTTGTCTCCTCCAAATCATTCCCAGAAGTACTGGAGGTTGGGACTGTCCTAGTGGGCCTGTAGTTGGGACCACACGTGGGGCTACCCACATTCGGGGTTCTGTAGCTTTCTTGCTCTCGCTGCTCGATTTTGGAAACCTTCTCCAACACAGAGCAATGGGGCTTCCTGTACTGAAGGCCCTGAAGAGTGGAGGTGCTTCCTGAGCTGAGTCTCCTCCGGCCCAGACTGGATGTCTGTTGGTGTGGTGGGGTGGTCGGTTCCTCATACCTTGGGTCTGAACTAGTGAAAGACGTTGAGGTACCGGTTCTCCCTTCAGGCCTTGGATAGGAAACTGGCCTGTCCAGGTGGGCCCTGTGCTCAAGAACAGCTTTCCTTCCGGGGTCCTCCACCTTAGTGTTAACTCCACTGCTGGGCCAGCCACCAGGGTAACCCTCCTGGGCACCCCCTCCTACTTCCAGGCTGCTTTGCCTCCTTAGACTCTCTGGAATGTTCTGGAGGGATGAGAAGGCTGTCTTGGTCCTGCCAAAGTTCCCTGACAGGTTCTGGCTTAAGCTGTCTCTCTCTACTTTCTGCTGGAGGTTGGCATTATAGTCTTCTTCCTGGAAATCGCCCTCCCAGGGCTCTGGGGGCCTGGAAGATTTCTTGTCTTCACCCACTTGCCAAACCTGAGCCCGAGGGGATTTGAGGCTGTGGCGGTTAGAACTTGGTTTGTCGCCATGGGAGCTCCTTCTCTCACTGGGATGTGGGCCGGTGCCTTGGGGAGGTGTGAGATGTCTCTTCAGGCAGGAATCCTCCTCGTTTTCAGGCACTGAAGAAAAATGAACTCTGTAGGGGACATACTTGGCTGTAGTGTCTGATTTCCTCTCCACTGGGGACAGTGAGTCGTGTTCTAGGGGCTGGAAGAAGGCAAACCCAGGCCTGCTAGCTCCATTTTGGTTCCCGTTCTCATCAGAGGTATCCATCTGGTTGCAAGCTCCCTGAGCAGCTGTATATCCACTCTCCTTCGCCAGTACAGGGTACAGCATGCCGTTATTACTCACAGAAGGCTGGGGAACCTGGGCAAAGTGTGGCTCTAGGGAAGGTACAGGGTAGATGCCAGTTGGCAGCAGCGGTTGGCCAGGTTGGGCCTTCTGGGTATAATTATGCTTAGGCTTCACTGGAGGGCTGTTCTCTGGACTCCTTTCTAGTACAGTATGCAGTGGTTCCTCTATGAATGATTTCAGGGAGCCTGAAGCATTTGCCTGAGATTGGCAGAACCGTTTTTGATCAAGGCTAGACCAGGAGCTGGGCCGCTCACGGTGCCGAAAGGCAGCATAACTGTCGCTTCGAGTTGGGGGCAGGGGTGCACCCACTTTATGGGGCAGGTTTTCAGTGGCAGTCTCCAAGGAACTGGGGCACTGCTGGGTCCAGGATGGGGATGGCGTTCCCTTGCCCCGAGGAACACTATGCCATTTATTATGGCCCTGACCATTCGCAGATGCTTGGGCCTCCCTACCTTGAAGAAGCAGGGCTGAAGAGTTCACCTCATACTCTGCTGAGACTCCCCTCCGGGTATCATAGACCGTCTTGACATAGCGAATGTCCGCCTGCCTCATCCCTTCTAGGAGGCCACCTCGAGTAGAAGCAGTATCCATGGAGCCTGAACGCTCACGGCCAGAGATGCCAGGGGGTGGGTACTCTAGGATGCTAGAACTGGTAGAGAAGGAGCTATATGCTGAGTCTCTCTTGTTATGGAGGTTGCTGAGCTTGTCAATGCTGCTGGTGGACTTGGCAGGGGAAAGAAGATGGCAGGATGGGTATCCCCCACTGGGCTCCAGGCTCTCCATGCTCCCCTGGGAGCTGCATTGGTCAGGGCTCCGCCTCAGATAAGCATGGTCGTAGTTGGAGAGGTCACTTGTAGAGGAGCTGGAAGAAACGGTAAGAAAGCAGTCAGCACCATTAAGCAGTTATCATTTAGCAGCATTCAGGCACAGGACCCAGCTTATAAATATACTCTTGTGCAGGATGTTTGGGTTTTGGAAGGGTGAGTATAAAGGGCCATATTTGGGCCTTGCTCAGCTTCCTTCTGTGTCATCACTAGGACTGACTGTCCAACTCTGTAGCCTATGTGCCTCTAATTAATCACCCAAGCTTGCTAGGGGCACAGAGGAAGGCATGTGGCCTTTGAGCACAGGCAGCACAACTGATGAAACTTGCTATGCTGAAAATGACATTCTGTATGTGCCAAAAAATGGGAGAGGTGGGAAAGAAAGGAGAGGAAGAGGAGGGAGAGTGATAGAGAATGAAATTCTGTATCTGCGGGAGCTGTTTGTTGGAAGAAAGAGAAAAGCTTAGTTAGAAAATAGGCATGTGACGGATAAGGGAGACTTGGTGTGCACATGTGTATGTTTTTAGTTAATATCTTTCCTTTTTAAGGAATTGAAAGAGACAGTCTGGCAATCTTCCTGGAATTTCAACTGTACTAGAGACAATTTGTTTGTGGTGAGAAAGCTAAACACAAAGCCGAATGAGAGAAATAGAAAAATTTGAGTCAGAAAATGCTGATGAGAAAGTGAGGGAGAGAGGAAAGGAGAAGAAAGCTTTAAAAGGAATCTGAATCACAGGAGGCCCCTGGGGCTGGGATTCCATCACCTATGAGTGACTTCCCAAATCTGGAGCAGAAACCTCTGTGCATTTAGGAGGGTGGGAGCTTCACATTTACAGGCTTCTTCAGGTGCATTTCAGACCCCGGCTGGGGGAGAGGGGAAGAGACTCTCAATCTTGGCACTGCATACTCCACAGTTTGCTCAAAACAAAATTACTCACGAGTAGTTTTAAAAATTACAAACTTAAGATATACTTCAACAAAGAACTCTTAAAAATTAACAATATGAAAACAAACACCTGATTTCAAAAACTTAGCCAAAGACTTAATAGACATCTTACCAAAGAAGAGGCACGGATGGCAAACAAGCATAAGAAAAGATACTCCACACCATTTGTCCTTAGGAAACTGCAAACTGAAACAATAGGCAATCAACTCTACACTCAGTAGAATGGCCACAATCCAGACCACTGACGACCCCAATCGCTGATAAGGATATGGAGCAACAGGAACTCTCATTCATTGTGCTGGTGGGAATGCAAAAATGCCACAGCCACTTTGGAAGACAGTTTGGCTGTTTCTTACAAAACTAAAACATACTCTTACATCCAGCAATCACACTTTGTTATGGTTTGGATGTGGTTATTCTCCAAAGGTCTGTGTATTGGAAGTCTGTCTCTAGGGTGTTGTTGTTTGGAGATGGTACAGAACTTTTTAAAGACATGGGACCTTAGGGGAGGTTCTGAGATCACTGGGAGAACTGGCCTGGGAAGGGACTAGGATAGCTTCAGTGGGAGCTCCAGGGGTGGTGGAGGAGGTGTGTTAGAAGAGTGAGCCCAATCCCTTACTTCCTGTTTCAAGGGGCAATCTCTTCCTCCCACAGGTACTCCCATTGCATTGCACCCATCCACCATCAGGCTCTCACCAGAGGTTGAACCAAAGGGGCTGCCCAATCTTGGAATTTTAGTCTCTGAAACTGTGAACTAAAAAATCTCTTTTCCTTATAAAGTAGCCTGCCTCAGGTATTTCATTAGAGTAATGTAAAATTGACTATGTACATGTGCGTGGATGTTTATAGAAACATCTTTCATGCTAAAGACTTGAAAGTGACCAGTATGCCCTGCAATGGTTGAACAGATGAACTATAGATATCTAGGTGATGAAATATTATTTAGCACTAAAAAGAAACAAGGAAAAGAAGGGAAGGGAAAGGAAGGGAAGGGAAGGGGAAGAAGATCTATGTATTCATGGGGAGGATATAATGGAAGGAATAAGCAGTTCAAAAGTCAAATAATAATCTCCATATTTCAAATGTCTGTGTCTCACTGTTCTCTAAAGAAAGAAAATCAGAGTTCTTGCTTCAAGATTTCCCAGTTTTAAATAAATCAGCATTTAAGCACTATTAAAATTCATATAGCTATTACACTTCAAGATACCATGCAAATAAATCTGATATCTTACTGGTCAAGTGGATGATAATGTTTTATAGTTAAAATGTCTCCAGAGAATATGTCAAGGGACTAGAAGGACCATATTCTAAGTCAAAACTAGTGATGAAATTCAATGAAAAGAAGACTACAAGGTGAGCACAAGGTCGCACATCTGTAATCCCCGTGACTCTGGAGGCCTAGGAAGGAAGACTGTAAATTTGAAGCCACTCTATTTTCTCTACCAGAAAAAGTCAATTTATTGAATGGAGCACCTGCCTTGGGAAGGACAAGAATAAATTCAAGGTAGTAAGGAAGAAAACAGCTCCCAAGTCAAACACAGGGAACTCAGATCTTGCCCCCGATGGCATGTGCCACCGCCAGAATTTATTCTCCCCCGATCCTTTTCCAATTCCTCTCTAAATGAAGAAGTTCTATTACAAAACGAAGAGATTGCCCAGTTGAAGATTGCTCCAGGGACCTATCTAGCATTCCTTTTTTCTCCTCCAACAGAAGATTCAGAGAGAATACCTCCAGGGGAAATGGAAGAACTCATAAGGGCTGTTTTGCTCACCAAAAATCTATGCAGGTAGTACGCAGACACTGCTTAATTCTCCTCCAAACTGCAGAGCATTTTTTCACTTTTCAGAAAGGATAATTCAAATCTAGCTTAGGAACACAGACACAAATCAAAGGGACTAAACTCATGGTTGACTGAAATACTACCGAGTGGGGAAAATGTCATCACTAACGTACCACAAAACGCAGACGGTGTCTGGAAATATGAGACAACCATTACACATATCTCTAGTCAGGCCAGAGAGAGGGTCTGCGGAGTTCCTATCTGTAGCAAACCTCAGGTAAACAGCATCACAGGAGACCTTGGTAAGGTGTTCCTCCTTGCTACCCGGGAACATTCTGCCCCTGGGAATTACAGCCCCATTGTTTCCCTCTGGGAACAAGTTCTTCTATCACAGTCTTGAGCTATTGATTTTGATTAACTTCACCATCCCTGCTTCTGAGGTGGCATTTTTAGTGGGGATGAGAACAATCTATAATGACATACTCAATCCTGCAGTAGTTCCAGCCAACACGAAGACAGCCATACTATCATGAGGAGTGCACCCCAAGTGAGTCAAAGTTCTTGCCTTGATCACAATATTTCTCCAACTTCTACTGTTCTCCTTGCTCACACATTCGAGCATAATGGCCTCCTGACTGTCACCTAGACCCACAGGAAGGTGACAGGGTCTGGAGGCCTTGCACTTACTGTTCCCACTGCCTAGAATGCCCTGCCCTGAGCATAATGGCCTCCTGACTGTCACCTAGACCCACAGGAAGGTGACAGGGTCTGGAGGCCTTGCACTTACTGTTCCCACCGCCTAGAATGCCCTGCCCTGGCTCACTCCCTTCCTTTATTCCAGTCTCCGATGCTTCAGAGAAGACTTCTCAGAACTAAGTATCAACTCAGCTCTCCTTATGCCCTGTTTATTTATTTATTTACACACACACACACACACACACACACACACCCCTTTATCACTATGTGGTGCTCAGGATCGAAGCCAGTGCCTCCCACATGTGAGGCAAGGCAAGCGCTCCACCATGGAGCTACAACCCCGGCCTCTCTGCTTCATTTTCTTCACTGCACTTAGCAATATGTGCTATTACGGGGTGTCCTTTTGGTTATATTAAAAAAACTTTGATTCCATTGGTAATCTTGAAAGAACTGAAGCACACATAAGAAAATGTTTGTTACTTCTGCGGCAGATACACGTACTCTTATAAAAGTGCAACAGTATTTTATAAATAGAACATTCTAAAGAGCACAAAGCAAGCATATGGAAACATTTCCTAAAGAATACTTACAGAACATTAAGTTCCTTAAATAATCAAATTTGTTTGGAAAGCACTGGCTAAATAAGTTAAACAATTTTATTTATTGCAAGACTTCTGACTCTTTTCACAAACTATTATTCACCTGCCTTTTGTTTTCTCTCTTTTTTTTTTTTTTTTTTTGAGACAAGGTCTCCATGTTGCTCAGGCTGACTTCAAACTTGTAATCCTTCTGCTTCAGTCTCCTGAATAGCTGGTATTACTGGCATGTGCTATAGCACCTGGCTCATCTGCTATTCTAAAAGGAAAAAAGACTAAGCAATGTTTTCTAAACTTATTTAACCCTATACACTTTTTCCCCATGGAGTTTCTAACAAATTATCACCCCATGGGCCAGACTTTGAAAAATAAATAAATATTGTAAGATGGGGGTGTTTCGTATCTTGTTTTCCATTACACTCCCAATACCTAGAAATCATCTGAGACACTGCAGGTACTCATATTTACTGAAAGAGTGGGTCACTGAGTAAGTGCTGGTACTTTATTATTTTGGTATTATTTTAGCCTCTTATCAAAAGACTTAACTACAAGACTTTTCAAGGTCACTTCTTATGTACTTTGGTAGTTTAGAACCACTGTGTGAGATTCCTATAGGGCACAAATAGACAGTGACAAGGATCTGGTAGAAGAGAGCTGAAAGAAAGTTTTGGAGAAATTCCAAATCCAATCCAGCTTACACTCACTTAAAGTTAGATGTCTTGGGCTGGGGGTGTAAATCAGTGGCACAACCCTTGCCTAGCATGTGCGAGGGTCTGGGTATCAGAACCAGCACTGCAAACAAACAAACAAACAAAACAAAACAAAACAAAAAAACAAAACCATATACACACATACACACACACACACACACACACACACACACACACAAACCAGACTAGATGTCCTTAGTGTATCTGTACTTTTCTCTTCCACTCCTCCACCACCATCCTACTCCCTCATACTTCTGCTTCATAATGAAAAACAGATCCATAAACAGACCCGAGATTGGGTTTGAGGAACTAAATTAAGGCTGTCAGAGGGAAACCAACCAATTGGTTTGGCACACCAGACCACTAGATGCCACTGTGGTCCTTAACAACACACCTAGAGCCCCTCTCCATCTGCTTGTTTCAGACCTCAGCAGTGGGACTCTGGGGAGGGTGAAGCCCTCTGTCAGAGCCACAGGCTAAGGCACGGGGTGACGGATCCATGGGGGCAGAAGAGGATGCACACATCTGCATTATTCTGGGTAATCCTTCCCCTTCTGCTACCTGGCAGTGCTAGTCACTGTGTGGGAGAAGCTACTTTGAAGCCTGGCTCACAGGGGCAGAGTAGTAGAGAAGGTGTAAGGAAGGACTGGCTTCCTAAACCCCTCTGGAGTCTGGGAGGGGGAGGGGGACACAGGAGCTCCAGGCCTGCTAGAGCTCACCATTGTTACTGTAAGCAGTTATTCTAAGCACTCACAGCAGGAGTCTTATTTCTGCCATAGGCCAGCACATTTTTAGGTCATGGTATGACTTCAGACTTAGGGCTTCCTGATAAGGTTAGGAGTTAGGAAGCTCCAAAGGATCTCACCACTCAGGGGCACTCTGCTAATATACACCTGCATTTAAAGGCATATGCGGTTTTATGCACTTAACCTTCAAATTCATTACCAGGTTTCACTGTGCCTCTAAGTCTTCAGCCTGATTGTTATAATTAGTTGTCATTTATTGAGTGTTTACTATGTGCCAGGAACTGTAATGTTATTTTATGTACTCCTTACAACAATCAAGTGACATAAGTATATTTCATTTTACAGAAAAGGAAGCCAAGATCAAAGAGGTCAAATGATCTGCTTCAAGCTCATGGGGTAGGTGGTGAAGTTAAGGTTTAAACCCAAGTCTGATTTAACAGCCCAAGGATCTTACACTGTGCTGTTCTTCCTTCAAACTGTTTGGTCCCACACATTACCTTCTGATGGCCCTCAACATCTCCAGGCATGGGAAGGGGCCCTGCAAGGGGACCTGCTCCCTGAGAAAGAAGGCTCAGATGGTGAGAATGAATTCCTTCAGGGTGACTAGGAGGGCCATGTAACAAGGAGAGTAACCAGGAATGACCGTCTCCTTCTGTGCTTGAAGCTTAGCCTAATGCACTGGGAGATGCCTGTGTCCATCAGAGAGAGGTCTAGGACTGGATCCTTGACCAGACTTGAGCATGAAGGGCTGTGACTGAGTCTTGGCCTGACCAGATATACAGCCACTGTATATCACTGTATATCACTGGCTAAGTCATGCTTCCAGAAGCTGCACGGTGCCCCCTCTCCCTAACACCTATACACCAGCACTTGCATCTCCTGTCTACGTAGAGGCTTATTTTCTTGGCCTTTCCACATCTCTACCTTATCCAACATTTCCCACAAGTGATATGCTGTGGAATCTGCTTCCCTGGGGGCGGAGGGTAGATGCCAATTTGCATTTGTAGCAGGTGTGAGGTAGTCCTGGCTTAGCTCTCTCTTCACTGTGTCTGAGTGACTGGGTTTGACTCCTTTCTCCCCAGTTCCCCTCAATTACATAAGATCTGATTTCTAGAATAAAATCTCTTCTCCTGTAATGCTCATGGCAAGTCAGCTCTTTCCCGACCAAACCCCAACTGGTACAACAGTGACTAGAGAAGCAAAAGAAGTATAAACTGGTGGTTACAAGCAAAAACTTTGGAACCAGGCTCAGTTCTGTCTTAATGCAGGCATTCATCAGTCATTTTACCTTGGACTAATAAACCTTTCCAAGCATCAATTTCCTATTCTGTAAAGTGGAGTGAACCACACTATATCTGCTTTAAAGATATGCATAAAAGATGACATGAGTCCAGGCATGCACTGAGCAGCCCTCCAGATCTTAGCTGTTTCTTAGTTGTTGAGCTAAGATAGATTAATTATCTGAACAGAGGGAGAAAAACCAAGTGGAGAGTTCAAATGCACGAGCAGAATCATTCAGATCAAAAAAAATACAATTCTGACACTGAAGCACTGAGGGAAGGAGTCTCAAGTTTTTTGATCTACTGCTATAACAGGCGATTGAGAAGTACCTGACTGGGAATTGATGGGTCGTATTTATACCTCAACTGACCATCCAGAGGAGTCATTTATGTTTCTAGCCAGGATATAAGGATGATGGGCACACATGATGGGTGTTTTAAAAGGAGGAGGATTCGAGGTGTGTATGACAAAGTGATTTCAAAGCAGAAAATGCTGTTTTCTGGGAGCATGGTGTCTGAAAGAACCCCTTGGTCTCAGATGCCGTGACTTACCTGGAATGGTAGCTTTGGTGCCAAGGAGGGCCCATCGTGCCCTGAGATATCTGCATCATGCTGGTATCAGGTTGGTTCTCCCCAAATTTGGTTGTGTGCCACGAGTGAGGTCGGCCTGCAGGTTCACTGCGCCTGGGGAGACAGGAAAGGGGACCTCTTCAACACGAGCAGCAGGCCCTCCCAGGGGTAGCTTAGGGATTTGCAAGCAGAGACTGCGACGTCATTCAGAGATGGAAAAGCAAATAATACCAGAAAGAAAATGGCACTACTTATATATCTTACCAATCACTACTATTCCCTGCTTAATCAGGATATTTATTTCATTTCTTATTTTGACATAATTTCAGATTATACAGAAATGTTGTGAAATTAGGATAGAGTTCCCATATCACCTTCACCTAGACTGTCTGTATGTTAACATTTTATGCTTTACGAATGTAAAACACACATGATTGTCATGGTCTTTCCAGACCTCTATCCATATATAAAAAGGGAGCACCAGTTCCTTCCCATTTCCAAGGGACTTTGTGTGGGATATATAGCAAAAAGCTATTTTATTGGTAAGAGCTGCATAAAAATCAGGAGGACGTGGTGTTGACATGCTCTGAAGTTGCACAGTCCAGAGAACAAAGTGGTCTCCAAAAGTTTCTCATTTTCAAGTCGATGACTTAAACTTTTAAAAATCCTGCCCTTAAAACACAAAGGACTGACAAAGCCAAAGGACAAACGTGGGTGTCCTTCAGACTGCAGCATTGAAGGATGAGCACGGCAAGAAGAATCACATTGCTATAGAAGGCCAAAGTCAGGAGAGCTGCTGGGCTGTATTTTTGGCAAAAAGAGTGAGGCGATCTATCAACACTTGATCTGCACAGCATCACTGAAATGCTGGGGATGCCTCATCACCCTGCAGGATCTGCCCATGCCTACCTAAAAACACTGCCCCTAAGCAGCACCCCCCCTGCCCCAAAGGAAAACTGACAGGCCCAAATAAATCCCACAGAAAGAAGGTCCCCTTCTTGTCAAGAGCAGGCATGGAATGGTGATTACCAAGAACTCCAGAGGTTCCAGAGAAGCCTTCTAGTTTGAAACCCCAACGAATATGGGAGGTAGCCCGATGAATATAACCATCGGGACACAGTTATCATTTGATACACCTCTCACGAAAGATCAGACACCTCACTAGAAGTTCTGATTCGGACTTTGAAGGCTATGCATAGGACAATAAAAAGAAGACAAACGGAGTTGCTTCACCCAGGTCAAGTAAAGAAAATCTCACTTTGTGCTTTGAAATTTTTCCCCCCCGTACTGGGGATTGAATTCAGGGGTGCTCTACCACTGAGTTACATCCTTTAAAATTTTGAATCAGGGTCTCACTAAGTTGCCCAGGTTGGCCTTGAACTTGCAATCCTCCTGCCTCAGCCTCTGGGATTGCTGGGATTACAGGTGTGTTCCACCCCACCAGCCAAGACTTTCTTTTAATTTATTCAGAACTTTTCTCAGTTTCTTTCATTCTGGGGACATTTATAGAGTCATTCTATATTCCAGCCTCTATTCTAGCAGTGGGGATAACAAAGAAGAATAAAGTATTACTACACTCAGATAATTTGCAGTATAGAAGAGAGTCAAGCAAACCACCATAAGAGTATCATGGGTTCCATAACAGACACCGCTAGCTAGAGAAAGCCTAGCTTTACAGAATGCTGTAAACAAAGCTAAACAGGCAATTCTGGTGAGGGCTCAGAAGGCAGATGCTTAAATAAATGTAGAAAGTAATGGTGCATGCTATTAAAGTTTCAGAAAGAAATGAGGATTTACTGAATATTGGACTAGAGACTGTGTTACACCAAGGCAAAGAATTTGAATGCATTTTGTCCATACCTTGAGACTTTGTGGGAAGCTGAGCTTAAAGGTGATGAACTAGTTTCTCTAGGAGAGAAAATTTCAAAGGCAGCAAAACACTCAGACAGTAGCATGGCTATTGCTGGCTGCTTATAGCTGTATTTACAGTGAGAATCAGTGTGAATGAACAAATAGACATACTAAGGCAGATCCTTTTGAGAAGAGTCCCCAAGTCTTAACTGTTCCAGCATTGCTTAAAAGTTCAAATCTAAAAGTCCCCTCCAAGACTCAAGATAAACTGTGAGCTGTGAGCCCCTGTAAAAATCAGGGGTACACTGCTTACCCAGGGCTAAGCCAGCAATGCACTTCAAGGTCTGATTCAAGTGGTTCCAGGTACAGTTTGCGTTGGAATCAGACCTTGGGGTTGTCCATGTGGCTGGGTGTGCAGGTATGCAGGCATTCTTGTAAGAGTTATAGGATCATGGAGCTTCCACCAAGATATCAAAGGAAACCCTGGGAGGACAGGTGGCATGTGGCAGGGACACAGTCTCTGCAAGCAGCTCCTGGCAGGGCAATATGTGGAGCTGTGAGAATGAAGCTGGAATTGCAATGGAGACCTTCAAAGACAGAGATGTCAGGAACATGGAATGCCTGCCAAGGGAAGATACAGGGAGCATAGGAAACCTGCCCAAGAGGCCAGGTGGGCTGCAGTCAGTAAGGTCATAGTGTGCCCCAGATGCTGGACATGAATTTAATATTTTGTTTTTATAGGTAAGAATTTGCCTTAAGTCATAGGGGAGACTTTGGACTTGAACTTTTGAGCAATGCTGAAACGGTTAAGAGTTTGGAGACTTTTGAAGATGGACTGAATCCCTTTTACATTTTGAGATGGACTTTAGCCTTTGGAGGTCAGAGGCAGAAATGTTATAGTTTGGATCTTAAATGTCACTCAGAGACCCACATGTTAAAGGCTTGTTCCCCAGAGTGGCATTATTGAGAGGTGTTAGAGACTTTAATGGCCTAGTGAGAGGTTTGGCCATTGTGGGTATACTATCCATGAAGGCAACCAGCCTAGTCAGTCACAGACTGGCACCTCCAAAACCATGAGCCAAAATAAGTCCACTCTCTTTGTAAGATGATTGTTTCAAGTATTTGTTATAGTAATGGAAAGCTGACTAACACAGCCATGAGAGATTTATGCAGAATAAGATAAAGTGAGAAAAGGAAGGGAGACTATCCAGGCACTAGGAATAGCATGACAAAGATATGGAAATGTGCAAGAACCCAGTACAAGTAACCAAACTAGCTGAGAAAGAGAAGATGCAGGTGAAAGGAGAGGGGCCATGTCATAAAAAGTCTCACCTGCGCCACACTGAAAGGGTCCGGACAGTGTGCTATGTCCAAGCACCTTAGTCAGGGAGAGCCATGCTTGGATTTGAGTTTGTCCCAAAAGCAAGGACAATAAATTTGAGAGGGATGAGATTGGTAGATAGTGTATCTACCAGGTTACAAGATAATGAGAGCCCAGCACTAAGGCAGTGGCAATGAACTTGAAGAGATGACAAGATCTTAAAGCTCTGGAGACAACAGAATCCAGTCTCAGTGACCAGTCTCAGTGGATAGAGGTGGTGAAGAGGAGAGAGAGGGTAAAGAAAGGAGTCGATGGGGAAGGTGATGGCTCACGCTGGGGCATGGACTATGCAGGGGGCCTAGGGATTTCTAGAGGAGACACATGGGAGGCAGTAGGGGCTGGAGTACTAAAGTCTGGGCTGCACACATAAAGTCAGGAGCCATAAAGCATATTTGAGAAAGGTAGGTTGTTCAGGGAGAATGCATAAGGAGAAAAGGAAAGTAGTTTAAGGGTGGGTCTCTGATAACCATCACAATTTAGGATAAAGGGTATATGAGAAAAGGCCCACAAAGGAGTTTCTAGAAAAGTAGGAAGAAAAGTAGGAGAGTATAGGGATTTTCAAAAAAAACCTTGTGGTGGCTAACGGGCGGGTGGGGTGGGAAGCAGGAAACCTCAACCAGCCCAGCTGCTACAGATAGATCAGTTTGATGAGACCCGTGTCCACTGGATTTGGTAATAAATCTTTGCTATGAACAATGAGAGAAGAAGCCTAATTATGGTAGGATAAGATCTAAATAAGAGATGAAATGGAGATAGCAAGGGTAAAACATTCTTTCAAAAACTTGGCTCTAAAGGGGATAAGGCCAGAAGAGTGAAAAAGTTTTGATCTTGCTGGCTTTGTTTTAAACCATGAGAAGTTTGAGCAAATTTCTGAGAGAGAGAGTGCACACACACAGGGCAGAAGGACGGGTGACACTCCTTAAAAGAGGAGGGAGGAGGGAGGGGCTGCCAGAGCTCAGGTGCACCTGTCTTGCCTTATGCAGGTGTAAAGCTGGTGCGGCTGAGATGAGAAGAAAAGAGGAGGTAAAAGCTGATCTCCTTCGAGGGTGTGGGCAGGGTGAAAGCTGAAGATACTTCACACCCAGTGGCTTCTAGCTCAACACAGGGGAGAGAGCGAGGGGTTGATGTAGCAGGTTAGGGCTCCAGGGACATGGTGAGTGGGGACTAGGAGAGCTGAAACTGATTAGAGATATTTAAAAGAATTAATTTCTAAGATATTATCTCTGCCCTTAAGGAACCTACATTCTGGAGGGGAAACAAAATAAATTAAAGATAAAATAAGTGCTTTACAAAGAAAGCCCAAGAATTGCAATGACAAAACAGGAGATCTGACTTGGGAAGCTCTTTCTCTGAAGGTGATCTGAGAGCTGACTATTTATTTGCCTTGGGTGGAATAACAGGTTTCGTCAAGTATCACAGCTTAAGAAAGACAGGATAATTTTTGACACAATCAAATCAAAAAAGCCCAAAAAACAAAAAACCCCAAAACTTTGTTTTGGACACAACATATTATTGGGAGAAGCCCTCAGAGAGAAGTCTGTTTTGTATGGTTTTTCTATACTGTTCATATAGATGTCAGGTGACAAATGAGAAAAGAAGAATGAAAAGATGACCAAACAATAACACACTTTGTGTTGAATATAAATGGGTACAACCTGAACGATGGGCAGTTTGGTGACATCTAGCATGATTTAAAAACAAAACAAAACATATATCCATCAAAGGATTGTAAAATAACCTAGATATCCATTAACAGCAAGCTAGTTAAGCCAGTGAGGTACTTCCTTAATGGAATACTACAGGCTACTGAAAAGAATGAAGTAGCTCTACATGTATTAATATGGAAATATCTCCAAAATACATTGTCAAGTGACAAGATGTA